CGTAGACGACAGCGATACACTTGTACGCCTCGTCAAACCCAAACACCATGATTTTGAGGGGAAGTACCTCCAGTTCCGTCTCGACAATCTGGTTGTCTCCAAGTTTCACACGAATCTTCTTATCATTGCACTTCGTGGTCTTGAGTCGATGTTTCTCGACCCACTGTCTGGACACGCAGATTGTGGTTGCTCCACAGTCCACCAGCATTCTTTGGGTCGAAATGGTCGCGCCACTAACGATGATTTCCGCCTCGACGGAGAAGAGTGGACGCGACTTGTAGACGAGAGGGTTTCCCACAGAACGTTAAGGCTGATATTTTCAAACTTATCTGATCCGGCTATGTTTTCCACCACGACAGGACCCTCGTTCACTGACGTGGTTGCCCGTTTCCCTGCTTCTCTTGCTCCTTCTTCCAAAGGAAGCAGTTGGGCTTGATGTGGCCAGGTTTCTTGCAATGGAAAACAGGTACGACCTTCGGCTCGTTTCGGATTAGTCTTCGGCTTGAAACGCCCTTTACCACGGAACGCTTTTCCCTTGAACGACTTGACGTGACTCGGTGCTTGATCAGTGGATGACTTCCGCTTGTCTTGACGAGTGTGACGTTCGCACGACCCATCAACAAAGTGTGTCACCTCGTACTTGACAGCAAGGTCCATTGCGTCGCTTAGGGTCTCTGGATTCTCGAGCTTGACGTAGCTACACGTACGCGGCATGAGACCGTTCGCGTAGTACAGTACTTCGTCAAACACGCTTATTCCTTTGACTCGGAAGATCAAGGCTGAATACTCGCCGTTGTAGGTCTCGATGTCCGTTGTCTGCTTGAGGTGTTGAAGCTTCTCACGCAGGACAGACTGGTAATTCGACTCTTCGAAGTGTTGGAGCACATGCTCACGGAAAATCCCCCACGTGTGCTCCTACGCTCGAGTTGTCGACGACCAGTGCAGGAACCATCCGGACGCCGGCTTTTCCATTGCCGATCCGGCGATTCCAGAAGACGCGCGCCCGTGTCTTCAATTGGAATGTTGTTGATGCGGCAGGTGATCTCGATCTGGAACAGCATTCGCGGACGTCTTCCCCCCTCTTGCCCGTGAACTTGGGCAGATGGTTCGGCACTTTTGTACGGTCAGCCATCACTTCGTTCAGCCGATCGATCTCGGCGCGTAGCTGGGCGAATATTGGCATGGTCAGGTTGCTGGGACCAACAAATGCTACCAGTATTTCAGGAAACGCTAGCTTGGGGGAAGGCGCAAAACGAGAAGTGCCGCCCCCGCGATTCAGGATGATGGAACCTTCTAGAAGATTCCACGGCCGCACTACATCTGCCTTTCTGTATTCCACTCTAAATCTAAGTTAAACTGAGCCTGCCTCTGATTGGCTACAACTCTACACCTAT